GTTGCGCCAGCCTCGCCCGCGCTTGGCGCCGCCGCCAGCATCACAGCAGGCCGCCTCGGGCCGTGGGAGGTCCACGGGCACACGCTGACGCAGGGCCAGGTGCTCAGCATGAGCTCAGAGCCCTTCCTGGTGTGCACCTCGTGTTACCTCTATGCGAGGGCGCCCAGAATGGCGTGGCATGGCCCGCGAGACCCGTGCCAGGGCGCCGACAAGCGGGCCAAGACAGGGTCGCGGGCCCAGGCACGCAACGACCTGGGCAAGAACCTGCTGCCTGGGACCACGGAGCCCATTGGCGCCCTTCAGGCCCCGACGGCGGCCACGCGCCAGCGCTGGGCCGAGAAGCTGGGCACCAGCGCAGGAGCGGGAGGCGCGGCGGGGGTGACCGCCAGCGAGCCTGCAGGCGCGGGCGTCGGCGCCCAGTCGGGCGGAGGGGCTGCGGCCAGCGCGGAGGCCGAGGGGCCCGTGCGGCAGGCGCCCGCTTTGGGAGCCGCCGTCGGTGCTGCTAGGCAGCGGCTCGGCGGCGAGACGCTCATCGTGCCGCCGCTCGAGAGTGTAGCCAAGTCGCACGGCTTCGCGTCCCTGGAGGAGGCGCGGGACCGCGGACGCCTGGCTCGCGAGCAAGAGGGCGGCAGCGGCGCGCGGGGACTGGGCCCCAGGAAGACGAGCCCTAGTCAGGGGGCTTGTTCCAGGGGCCCCGCCCGCGCCTCTGTGCATGTTCTTAAATCACGGGTGGGTCCGCTTACCCTCGAAGAGTTTTTTGTTAAACAGCTGCCCCCACCGTAGCATGGCACAGCATAGCGGGGAGTTGGCGCCGAAGTCGCATGGGATTGGCCAGCTAGGGTAAGGCTTATCAGGGTTCGGGGTTCTCGTCGAGTCGCCTTTGTCGCCGGAGTCCTTATCGAAGGTTTCCCTATCCAGTGCCCCCGCCGTAACTGACCCCAGCGCGCGCAGGCACTTCCCGGTGCACCCCGCGCGCCTTGCAGCTGGACCTGGAGGCCACGCGCGCCAACCAGGCGTGACCCGCGGCGAGCAGGAAGATGGAGGAGGAGGAGGAGGAGGAGGTCCCGAGGCCCGCGGCGAGGAGGACGTACAGGAGGAAAACGAGGAAAGAGGATCAGGAAGAAGGAGGGGAAGAGGATCAGGAAGAAGGAGGGAAGAGCTTGCACACCTCACTGCGCAACGTGCCTGAGAGCATAGTGGCATGTGCCTGCAGGGCGTGCGGGCTGCCCTCTTCCGATTCCGCCACGACGCCACCTTGCCGTCCTTCGTCTTATTCGTGTTCTTCGGTGACATGTTCATGCTGTACGTGTTCTCTGCTCGATCTGTTGTGTGTGTGTGTTTCGCTTTGAAGGGTCACACGGACAAGTATTCATCTCTTGCACTGGTGGCAAGCAGGGTGTCCCCTCCCTGGAAGTTTATTCGCCCTCGTCTTTGGTCCTGTTCTCCGCAAACTTGCCCTGTGCATCCCGCGTCCGCCACGGTGACGGACGTCTTTGGTGGCGGCGCGGCTCGGGGGCGGCAAGGGTGGAGTTGATGTTGCTTCTGATGATTTGGTTGATGGTTTCGACGTTGCTTCCCCTAACGTTCTAGATACTGCGTATGCGAGCCTAGAGATTTGGCCCTTTGCTGCTCCGGGGTCGGGGCTGGTTGTCAGCGAATGAAAGGCCGCCCTCGCCTTGCCGCATGGTCTGGCCCGCGATGATAGTGCTTGTGACTTGTAGCTTCGCGGCCGATTCCCATCGGACTGTATCGTCCGCACTTCTGGCAAGTACTTAGGCATATTCCCCGGCAGCTGTGTGCAGCGGCAGTCTTGGGTTCCCCCAGGTTGCAAATCAAGCAGCGCATTTGGCACACTAATTCATTAGGTGCCTGTATGCTGCAGCCCTTCGCTAGCTCTTTACAACCATATAACTTTCCCTTGCCTGTCATACACTGCCCACTATCACCCTCCGACCAAACACGTGTTGCGTGCCAAGCCCGAGACATTGCAGGCGTTCGTTGGAGCCCCTAGGGATGCGTTGTCCAAGGAGCGCTGCACCATGTTGAGGGTATTACCTATGCGACCACCCTTTGGGTGATGAGGAGATTTGGGGGGGGTGAGTGAACACCAACTGACGACAACCTCGACGACTTTGATGAAGGCGAGATAGCGACGATGCGCGATGATGTTGATGGTGAGAGTGCATAATGGCGATTGTAGTGAAGGTGACACGGCCGCGACCCGCGCGGGCCGCACAATCGATCTCACCACAGACCTCATCGTAGATCTCACTCTCGACCCCACTATTGATCTTACTATCGATTTCACTATCGCGCCACCGACGGGGAACCCCCCGCCACCGACGGGGTATCGATCTCACCACAGATCTCACGATCGACCTCACTATTGACCTCACTATCGATCCCACTATCGATCTTACTATCGCGCCACCGACGGGGCACCCCCCGCCACCGACGAGGCATCCCCGCACCACCGGCGGCGCATTCCCGCACCACCGGCGGCGCATTCCCGCACCACTGACGGGGCACCCCCGCACCACCGGCGGAGCACCTTGGCCCATCGCGCGCCCGGGGGCAGGGCGGTCAAACGGCTCCACGACCCTTAGCCACGGCGGCATCATGTCTGTCGCGCGCCCACGCTGCTTCGCCCGCGCGCACGACACGAACAAAAACCGAAACCGATTTCCTGGTGGGGGGCTCTCCGTTCCACTGCGATCTCACCACCCAACCTCCGATCTTGTCCTGTCAAACTCTTCGATGTCCTCTGCCGTGCCGCTCTGTATCGTTGTGAAGTCACCTCGGACCATTATGACCCCGATCGGTAATCACTTCACGAATACTAGGACGATAGCAAATAATAAATTTCGGCGTGGAGAGCGCAACCGTTATAGGCAACATCCGGTCCGTGTGACATGACCCTGTCACCCACGATTCAAGCCAAAGTGGAAGCCTATGTCGACCTGTCAGATCGTCACTGCCTCAACATAGGTCGAAAGTTGCTGCACTCCAGGGTCCTGCATTTTGTTCCCCACATGTCTCGGACATTGCTCGACTACGATGCTGCGGATTTCGACATTCGACGCACCGTGTGTTGGCGTTTCGGTGGTCAAGTCCATGTGCAATGCATGAACCACGGTCCACCTTGACCAGCTCGCATCCTTGCCCGCATTCTCTCTTACCCCGCTCTTGCGCGTGCTGATGCCTCGCTGCCTGTCCTCCCTCCTGCGTTTCCTCGCTCCTCTGGTCTCCACCGTGAGTATCTGATCCACCTTTTTCCCGTTGGCAAGGTTGAGTCGATGTCTCTCGGCCCGATGCAATCTCATATGCAGGGCTGCCTCCCGTAAGTGGGCCCATGGACGCTTCGGATCTCAACCCAGAGCCAAGCCTCCCTCAGTCGTCTAATTCCATCCGCAATGCAGATGTACCCTCCTCCTCCACCACCTCTTGCCTAACTTATGGGCCTGGCACAATTAGGTACCTCTGTCATAACACAACACTTCGGGGGGGGAGGGGCGGCGTCAATGGACGTCGGAGCGATGCCGAGACACCCCCCCCTCTCCCGCCGTCCGAGGAGAGAGGACAGAGGAGAGAGGCAAGCTAGGTGCGCTCGCCGCGCCTCATCTGACACCCGATCCCTCCCTCCGATCCATTCCCGTGGCGCGGATTCTTCCTTTATATCCGCGGACGCATGTCATACTGCAACTCGAGCCACAAGACCACATCGTGTTATGCGCAATCGGAAAATGGGAGCTGCGTGCACAGGAGGAGGAGGAGGAGGAGGAGGAGGAGGAGGAGGAGACGGGTGAGCAGGGGGATGAGCGGGAGGAAAAGGACGAGGACGAACAGCAGCAGCAAGAATGGGAGTGGAAGGATCGGGAGGAACAAGTGGATCAGGGGAAGGCGGAGGAGGGGAACTGAGGGGCGACAACAATGAAGACATATTCGGATCCAGAAAACTGGCCTTCGCTGGGGCGAGAATGCCATTCTGACCGACGGGATCAGAGCGCCGATCCGAACCCACGTTGCAGCGGGAGCACCGTTTTGAAACACCCAAAGCAACCGGATTGCAAACAGCCCTAAGACAAAAAAAACATGGTTTGGAACTTCATGTTTACAAAAACAGCACGCGGAGAGGGCCCGGTATCCTCCGCACGGAGTCGGGGGAAAGAGGAGAGCAGTACTCACATTGCTTAATTGTAGTGAGGCACGTTAGGTTCGCTTCTTGCTATATCTGACATCCCATCCCTCCCACCAATCGCTTCTCAGTGCGCTGAGTTGTCTCTATCCTCCGCGACGCGTGTCGTAGCGGACCTGGAATTCCAAGAGGATTCCATCGTGGTGAAATAGGGAGCGGCGTACATTGGAGGATAAGACCACATCGTGTTATGCGCAATCGGAGAATTGGAGCTGCGTTCACAGGAGGAGGAGGAGGAGGAGGAGAAGGAGGAGGAGGAGGAGGAGGAGGGGAAGGAGGAGGATGAGGAGGAGGAGGAGGAGGAGGAGAAGGAGGAGGAGGAGAAGGAGGAGGAGGAGGAGGAGCAGATGGCGGATGAGCAGGAGGCAAATGAGGAGGATTACGAAGGAGGAGGACGAGGACGAACAGCGGCAGCAGGAGCTGGAGTGGAGTGAGCAGGAGGAGCAGGAGGCGCGGCCGCCGCGCAGCACTCCGCAGCCATCCTTCGGGCACAAAGCCCGCAGGGCCCCGAGGCGGCGAGCGGCCACCCGCTGGCCGACCACGCCGCCGACGCCGCCGCCGTCGTCGCCGCCGCCGCTGCTGCCGCTGCTGCCGCTGCTGCCGCCGCTGCCGCCGCTGTCTCCGCCGCCGTTGTCGCCTAGGCCGCTGCCGCCGCCGCCGTCGCTGCCGCCGCCGCCGCCGCCGCTGCCGTTGCCGCCGCCGCCGTCGTCGGCGATGGCGGCGTCTTCGGCGCCGTCGGCGCATCGGGCGCAAGAGGGGCGGCCAGCGGGATGGAGTCCGTGCCCGACGACGAGGCGTTGATCCC